ATCCCTGCCAGCGAGTCCAGGCAACCCTAACGGATGCTGCTCTGATCGGAGAGGAGGGGGAGCTGTGGGAATTGACGTGCAATCTCCCTGGCTCGGCTTTTTGTTGAACAATCAAAGGCGACCATGACGAAATCAGCTTGTTGACTCAACGTTCGAAGCCACTCCTGACAGGACACAGAGGACACATCATGTCCGGGATCCAGACACCAGTCAACAGGTTCGCAACTCCATCCGCAAAACTGGAGGGCTTCATAAACTGGCATGTTGGGGCCGCTGAAAATGTCAATGGTCCGGGGAATCCCTTCCTCAGGCAGCAAAACGGCGTTCCCTACTGAACCCACTGCCTTGCTGGGCTCAGCAGGGCACCCTCAGGCTGTCTTCTTGAAAGGGCAAGCACTGGCGCCATGGTTCATGTTGCACACCCTGCCATTCCTCAACAGCACTGCACACTTGTGAGCCCCTTTCTTCCAATTGTAAGAGTTCAACGACCATGTTGAAAATCGGGGCACAACTTGTCGCCTGCAGACGTGGACGGACGAACAGGTTTGCCTGCAATCATGTGGCCGCCTGACCCTTTGGTTGCCTCAGCTTTCTGAACAGGTTGTTGAACACTCATCGCTGGTGCCGGGGGGAAAGTCGGGACTGACGGGATCCGGTCAACTGCCCAATGTGCATCTCTTGCATAAAAAGCTTCTTTGATCACTACACCTAGGGTTTTGTTGGACTGCCTGTAGTTCTGGACCCACTCCTGGGAGTCCTGACACTCCAGCACTGCAGAGCTGTAGCACCACACAGCATCCCTGCCGTCCGCGCTGCTCTGTAATAGTACTGCATGACCACGTCCACAGGCACATAGACCGCTGCCGTGGTATCAGAACCCAGGTCCTTATCACCGCTTGGGTCCGCCCAGGAACGGGGCGGACACCTGCCATGGCCAGGGCGAGCAAGTAGGTATGAAGCCTGGCCAAATAGGATGGGACATCCTTGAACTGTGGCCCGGATTCCTCCGGCGCATCTGTGTAGAGGTTGTCCCCAAGCTTCAGTGTCTTTTTCCTCAGTGAACAGGAAGCGAAATTCATCGAGGTGAGCAAGGCCCTGATCCACCAGCTTTTTCACCACGGCGTCGGCGAGACTTTTTGAAGAGCTCCTCTGGAAACTGGCCGCTCATGTTCAACATGGCGCAAAGGGAGGCCTAGGAGTCAGGCAAATCACTTGTGCACTCAACTTAGCAGCACTGCTACACAACTGTTGAGAGTTATCATGACATGACATGAGACAGAGATCCATCCCTGTGCCATACATGGAGCAACCGAGAACGCGAGACAGTCCAACACACGTCAAACCGCCTAAGGCCGGCTTGCCCTGTGGCAGGCAACACAGGCTTCGTCCTGCGCCCCCCCGTTTTCTCCGATCTCACCGCTCTAAATCGCCGACACGCACCCCGAAAAAGGCAGGAAAAGCATTGGGCGCCCTGCGTCGCGGGGGTCAACAAATTCTAATATTGCGCTAATGCCAGATCTGAGATGATAACATGAGCTTGAGTGAACACTGGCATGCACATCTGACCTATGAGGGCACCTAGCATGATTCTCAGCCGGTATGCACCCGGACGCTTGCCGGCCAAAGCTCCAAGCAGTCCTTGCAGACCTCATGATTCATGGCCAAGACTTCAAAGAAAGATGTCCGCATAGGTGCTTGATCCTCGCCGCCACTGACACAATGGAACACCTTCTGAAATTGCATGGCACTTGGCTGCACGCTGAAACAAGGAGTAGCCCTGGATTGGCGCTGCCGCGCCAGCCCGGAGCCTCATGCGGCGAACAGCTGCTTCTGCCCATGCAAAATTGTCTTCACCTTGCCCGCCACTCCACATCTTGTGGATCTCAATTGCACGCACCTCCCCAATCCGGCCCGCTGCCTCATTCACACCACAGCCTGTAAGCGCGCAGATAACAGGGACTGAAGCATAAGGGACTCGGCGAACTCCAGCCATACAGTGAATCAGAATGGACTCACCGCGGCGAAGTGAAAGTTCAATAACGTGCCAGGCAGGAAGCAACTGGTCATCCCTGACCCTGCTGTCGGCACAGAAATGAATATTCATGATGCCCGGGGGCAGACTGCCTTGGACCTGCTTGACATCCTTGCTCTGCAGCTGGCCCAAAAAGGTAGTGACCACCAACTTGATGTCATCCAGGCGTGGAGATCATGCGTAGGCAATGGCCCCAGCCACAATCGGCCCATCCCAGGCCACAGACGAACCATGGATGGAGGCTAGGCTTACCTGAATGCCCCGGCCGGAACGGGCATCTGCCAGCCTTCCAGGCGCTGGCCCTAGCTCAGCGAGACCAAGTCCGAAGCGCAGCACTGGTGATGCGGTGCCAGGTCCCCTCGCTTGGAGGCGGCCCCGGCTGATCCCTCAGCCAAGGGCAGGGCAGGATCAGCCACTGAGAAAGGCGCTCCCGCTCCTCCCACAGCTGGCTCATCCGCCCCGGAAGGCCCCACCATCGGCCACTGCTGTCCTGCAACCCCCTTGAAGGTCTCCACCCGCATGTATTTCTTCGCGAAACACTCCACTGCACAGCTGGGTGTTGACCGGCATTTGCAGAGCACACGGCGCAACGGTTCTTCAACTGGCACGCTGGATCGGAACAGGCTGCGGTTTGGTGTGGGAAGCAGAGCTTAGGATGTTTTAGTGCGCAACAGCAGCGCTTTCCCCGGGATGATGTCAAGAAGGGGAGCCTCCTGGTACGCCATTGAAACTGGAGCAGCTGGCTGTGACAAGCGAAATCTCCTAGCTGCTCGAGCTGCCAGCTCCACCGAAGCCATACTGTGTGCGATTCTGCAACCAAGCTCTTGTCAACGCTGAAAGAGACATCAGGGACCAAAGCCTTCCAAGCCTCCACGCCTAATGACTCCCATGTTGTGATTTTGGTCGTCAGCAAAAGTTTCGTACGAACTGCCCGCATAGCGAGCGGGCATTTCGGATATGGACTCCTGTGGCTTAAGTTGCCAATCGCTCAAGGCTCTAGTCTCATTAGGGTCCAGTCCCAAAATTAGTAACTGGTCAGCACTGCCACGTTAGATGCCGATGCTTGCAAGGATCGCCGCACCGCCTCCGTGGCTGCCTGGCACTGAGCTGCTCCTGCTTAATCGTGTCAAAGATCAGGCCTAGTCGCCGCCGCTCCAACACACTGATCGGCAGATAGACAGCCTTGTAAGCATCCCACCAGTCGAATTCCACAGACCGCGCCTGCCTCCGTTGCGCAACCTGAATCCCCCAAGTAACTGCCTCCACAGAGTCTTTGGGGCCAGGTGCATCGGGGAGCTTCAACGGGGCCATTTCAACTACTCTTGCAGGTTGAAACACAAGAAGAGTAGCGATGGCCAGAAAGAGAACCTTCAGAAAACTGAACCAAGGGGGGGATGCCATGTGAAGATTCTAAGATGCCCTGTGTTCTCAAAGACAGGCTTCGGAAAACTACACATCTCGGAGCGCTCAGCCACGTCCAAGGTGTCCAAGCAGACCTTCTCCGTCAAGCTGAGCAGCTCGTGGGCCTGGTTGGCATTGGCGACAAAGTCCATGAGACTCCTGACAGGCGGAGCAGAGGCTCCCGCCACACTGCCCGCACCAGGCTGCAGCTGCACGGGTCGTACAGCTGCCCACGATGATAAGCCACCCGGCGCCACACACCCAGATCCTTGACCATCGGCAAGGATGCAGGAAGTCCTCTCGCCCCGGCCACAATGGTCTGCATGAAGGCTGGCCAGCGCTGATCCATGCCCCCGGAGGCATCCGCCAAGACCACATCCTCAGGCACAAGGGCATCGGGGTGAAGGACAAGCAGCATGATGTCCAGGTCATCAACCACCAGAAAGTGTACCCTCCTCTGGACGCCACACACCTGGGGCAGTGGTCCGCAAGACAGGGACTCTGCAAGAGGGGGCACACCTGATCTGACCTCGACTGGCGTGGCCAACCCTGCCACATACGGGTAATGCAATACCACCGTGACAGACTCGAGCAGCTCGACAAGGAGCGGCAAGCCCGCATGGCGGGCATAGCATAGGAAAGCATCCAAGTTCTGAGGAGTGTTGACAGGCACACGAGCCCACACCACTCGGCGATAGAACATGGGAAACAAAAATAGCTGTTTTGGCTCTTGAGCCAAATATGCCCCAGAGGCGACCATTGTTGGTTCAAGCAAGTTCCTGACTCAAATGAAACCGTGTCACCCAAGGCCTGCCAAACACGAACAGGGGACATAGAAAGAGATAGAGAAAGAGATAGAGAGATAAATAGATAGAAAGAAAGAGAGATAGAGAGATAGAATGATAGAAAGAAAGAGAGATAGAGAGATAGATAGATAGACAGATAGAGAAAGAGAGAGACAGAGATAGAGGGATATAGAGAGATGGATACATACAAAAATAAGAAGGTAGATATATAGATAGATAGATAGAGAGAAAGATAGAGAAGATAGAGAGATAGATAGATAGATAAGCAGATACATAGACAACACGAAAGACAGACAGATAGGTAGTTAGGTATAAATAGGTAGAGAAAGATAGATAGACAAGCAAACGAAAGAAAGAAAGAAAAGACAGATAGAAACAAGGAAAGAAGGAAAGAAAGGAAGAAAGGAAGAATGACGGAGAAAAAGAGTCAAGAAAAGAAAGAGAAAGAGAACTATAGTTTGTATATTGTTGAAACTTCCGCCCACCGGCTTCGCCGGCTCTACTGGTAATGTGTCATTTGACTCTACAACGCTCTGGGTCGAATTTCGCAAACACACATGACTCCCGAACAAATGACGTGCATGCGCCTGTCTTCAAGACCCATCTGAAGGTCATCAGATTCGCCAACCAAAGACAGCCCCTTGCTTCCCGCAAATAGACCTTGACCCTCTCAGCCCTTCTCTTGCACCCGGACATGACCACAGGACGATTCCACAAGCAACGCACATTCACCAGTTGTCTCTAGTTCAGAACGTACCTGCCTCGGGAAAGATTTCGTGCGTCAGCTGGAACCTGACGTTCCAAGCTGCAGTTCTTTGAATGCTCAACGGCGGTCCAATGCAGCTGCGCAGCAGTGGGTGTGGAGCCAGCAAGTGACCCCGCTGACTGACATGCAACTCCACCCGCAAGGAGGGGGAGAGCAAGCCTGGCGGAAGTTTCTCTGGAAAATCACATGCCGAGCTGTACTGCGACAGAGCTCTCGATATGCCAAGCTGCTTGGGTCCAGTGCCACTGAGGACTGGCGTTCCAGCTTGTAGTCCACGAAACGCCTTACCATGCATCGCAAACGTGCGCAACTGAATTTAAACTCTGAGGCTTGCGAATCCTCGGCATTTTGCCTGAGATTGAGATCCTTGCATGATCCGCGAGGTCAACTCCACCGAAACTCGCTGGGCATGAAGGTATTGTCCTCAGCGAATACGCCCAAGCTGCAAGTGGATTTCCCCAATCCGTCAGGAATCCAGGAATCATGGCATGACCACTAGCGCGAGATCAAAGTTGTCTAGGTCTAGCGGCCCGCCTTGTGAATCGAAATGAATGCTGTGGAAACACTCCCACACAAGGACTTATTGTGCCTGGCTTCTGACTTCGCGGCGCCTCCGCGAACCCTCCGAGTTGATGGTCCTCCGCGCTTCGACTGGCTCTTGTTTAGCTAGCGGGCGCAGTCCTGAGCTCCGCCAGCGTCCCCGTGATCTTTGACAGGGCTGATCCGATGACCACCACAGTGCAGCCTGCCGGCCCAAGCAATCGGACAGTCGACCAGTCGACTCCTGGCCTACGATGAAAATGCAGTAAACCCGCTCGAAGGCGCTGTCAGCGGCCACAACCGGCGGCGAGGGCGGCGTCAGCACCCACTGTAAAGCGTGCAAGTACTGCACGTGTCCTGGAAAAATAGGCCATTCGGTAGTCCTAAACCGCTTGGGGGCAGAGTGACTGATGAAAACCAACAACCCTACGTCCACTTCTACATCACGGTTTACAATCGCGATCAATCGCACACACAAGTGCGCACAGGCGGTCTGAAGCATGTCCTGCCACATCTGCGGCATGTACCTCATCCAGCCAGGACACCTGGTTGTTCTCCATGCGGTCCCTGCAGAGCAACAAGAGGGAACAAACCTGACAACTGAGATCGTTGAAGTCCACGCCTGCCAAGCCAATACCATAGACAGGCCAGGACGTGGGCACAAATCAGCATGGTGAGAGTGGTATTGACCTTACAGCGTGCCAAACCAACGAGCCGACCAGCCAAGACACCTACACCCTGCTCCGAGGGCAAAGGACCAGCATTGCTTGGCACCAAACGCAAATCCCCAAAGCCAAGTGCGAAGATGAGATGATGAAAGCAGAGGCCCGGTTTGTCACCACTTCACTCGCAAACAACAAAAGCCAAGCAGCGATGGCCACGACTAGCACCATCCACTGGCGGCCTGCAGCAACAGAGGCCTCCTCAATGACAGCGCCTGTCGCAGGGTCAAGCCAAGGGAAGCCCAGATTAGGTGACCATCTTGCATCCCTCTGCATCCCTCTGCACCCCCCCTTCGACGAAAAGGGAGCCAGAGCCCACGTGGCGTCCAAGGTGCTGAGGCGGCTCATTTTAAGCAGCCGCAGCAGGCGAAATGCCCGGAGCACACGCAGTGCCCGGATGCCCCGCAGAAGCGTCGAGCCTGCGGAGGCATGTCGACACCGCCGGACTTCCAGAATCCGTTTCTTGCACCACGGGCTTCTCTTTTCATCTCCATGCCACAAATCACCTCTCCCTCAACTGTAAAGCCTCCGCTCGTGCCATACTGATAGATAGCTGTCGCAGCCTCGTTGCAAGACAAACAAGTTTGCAGCGAGGCTGTCTTTTGACTCGAAGCCGGATGCTCGTAGCAAACGCATGACAAGCCTGTTCAGCCAGAAGACTGCACCCAGGTCAGGCACAACTAAGCCGGGCACGTCCAGGGAGATCAACATCAAATCGAAGGTAAGCCAACCCTGCATGTAGTTACAGGCAATCTTGCAGCGGTCCAGCACTAGCCGACCGTTGTGGTAGAAGCCTGTATTGAAGTTCATACAAACCTCGGATCACTGGAAGTCAGGCTGGCACGAATGGCAATCCGTGGAGTTTTGTGCGGACACTACGAAGGGTCATTGCTAGAGCCAAGACAAAAAGATCGAGCACATCCTTTCCATTGGGAAAGTCGCGGGGCTTCAGCCGCAGTGCAGGCCTGCCTGGCTGCCCGTTGATTCCGCTACGCGCATGTGTTAAGCTCAGGGCCCAATGTGAAAATGCCCGCAGTCCAAGATGCATGAGGTAGGTAGTGAAGGGACTCTGAAGGCCAAGGTGGATTTTTTCACAAGCACTGCAGACCAAGCGGCATCACAAGACCAAAAGAAAAGCGCCACGAAGAAGCAAACGCAGTTTATGGTGCTTCCTGCCGTGGCTTCAGAGAATCAGAACACGCCGCATGCTTCAATCCTATGTCGACAGGCTCGATGCCAATGTCCCAAGCCAGGCTCATGGGCAGCAGGAAAGCGTCCACCATTATCAGAAAAAGGCCTCCCGAATTCGCACATTCCAACCATTCCAACCATTCCAACCACTAGACGATAATGCAAGCGTCCGGCCTACAATGTCCCAGCCCAGGCGGAATGGCTGGTGGGGGAGCAGCAATACTTTCGGGCGCCGCTGCTTCAACAAGTAGTCATTCTCATTATCGCCAGAAAAAGCCTGCACACGCGGTGCAAACACACTCAAAAAGAGCAAATTCCTGCCCAAGTTCCAATCCAAAACAGTTGCAATTACCAGGCCAACATGCCAATGCATTGCGCACAGCTTACCCCCACCAAGCCCAAAGCGGTGCCTCCACATTCGACAGCGTTTTGTGCATCCTCAGGAATCCTGTTGCTTTTCACTTCGCACTTGCGACAATTCGAGTCCAGTCTCCCAGTCCTAGCTTCTTTTTCGACTTCCGCTGCTCCCGGCCCATGAAGATCAGGTTACCTGACACTCGAGTCGAGAGTCTCGACACGTGTACACACAACTTCAGCAGCTGTATCTCGAAGGACCTAGCCGCGCTTTTCGTGCACCTCTTTCCAGGAGGTAATTGAACCATGTTTGGAACCGAAGGCGTGCGAAAGGAGTATGTGCAACCATTCGCAAAAAGTGCAATGTGTGTCAGCGAAACATGTGCAAAAAAAGCCGCAAGCCGCACGAAGAGATGTGTGAATTCAGATTTCGCAAAGGGTGTTCCCCTCATACCCTACCCTCCCTACCCTCATCAGCCTAGCAAGTCCTGCAAGCTAGGCTACTCAAATCTGTACCCTCTGACAACTCTCTGGATGTTTGCAAAATAAACGCACACTTCTTGAGCATTCTTGAAAGTTTCAACGAACCTTGCACGCGTCAGCTTGGGGTTGGGGAGGGATCAATCTGTCCTTCGCTTTCATGTGCTCAAGTTCAAACAATATCACAAGCCTTAACCGCACCAAAAGTTCCGTCCCTGTTTCCAACAGTCTCTGGCCAAGAATGGACGGAGGGTTGTCAGTTGCACAGGGAGGGGGTTGGTCCCGCGTGACGATGCGAGGCTGCAGAGCCAACAGGGCAGCAACGAACATAGATGCTCTAGATGCACGTCCCGGTGCACTTTCATGCTCTATGAAGGCACTGAGAAACAAATATGAAGTTTGCCCGCGGAATGCCAGCGCCCTCTGGATTTCGAAGCCAAAGGGCTTTTGTTCACCATCTCCATCCAGCGCGGATGAAGCCTCAACCTGAATCCCAGAGAGCAACTGTGGGACCTTCCAATCGTTGACCTCTGGCAGTCTTCCCGAAAATCCTACCCTCCCAAATCTTGCCTGAAGCATCCCTGTCCCTGAAGCATCCCTGTCCCAAAATTCCCGTTCGGAGTTCTCGAAATCCCACAGCAGGACATCCGAGGGGCGGCTGGCTGCCACTGCTCAAGGTGACCAGGTCCACAGCCTGAGACATAGCCTTGGCCCGGTCCGCGGCGATCCACACGGATCTGCTCATGGAGTCCTGGGCAAAAAGAAAAACACAATGGCGCAATTTCACCCGTATCAAACATTATCAAACTGGATGAAACCGTAGCCCGTGTAGCCCGTGTAGCCTGTGTAGCCTGCGTAGCCTGGAGCCTCCAGCCTGTCAACTTGGGGTCTGAATGGGGATAAGGTAAACTCCTTCACAGCCCTTGCGCTCTGGATGAAATCCGAAGTCTTGTGGAGGAAGAGAAGCAAACACGGCGAAAGTAAAGAACAGTTGGCTAACGGGCCGAGTTTGGAGACGAATGTGAACTGCGAGGGCAAGGCATCACAAGCAAGGTGGACGCTGTTTGCCTTCGCGCGAAATGAAATCGCACAAGGGCTTCCACCAAACTCAGCCGTAATGTGGAAGATTTGCTGGAATTCTCAACCGACAAAACAAGCCCACAACTTGCGAATATGTAATTTCCCACATCTGAAAATGCGCCGACAATCTAGACAGAACAGATCACGCTATCCTTGAATGCAGGGACCCGGCAAACTTCTTGCACCCCCGCTGAAGCTGAAGTTTGAAGCTGAAACTGTCGGGTGCGATTCTGTTGGCGCTTTAACTACCCGTTGACGCTGAAAATCGCTGACGCTGAAATTCAACGCTGAAAAATGTTCGCAAAGCGAGGTGAAGCTGAAAATGCGGCTGACGCTGCAATTCGTCGCCTATATTCGTGAGGAACTTCGCCCTTGTGGGGGCCTGACGCTGAAAATCGGCCTGACGCTTCTCTTCGGCCCGCAGCTGACAGTTAGGTTTTGCGCGAAGCTGGCGCGGCGCCGACACAGCGACGCTACGCCGCCACAGCTGAATTAATGTCGCCAGCACGCTCCGACGACTGTTTTCGATCTATTTTCGCGACTACCGTCTATTTGGCAGCAGTTCCGCAAATGCACGAAAACGGTAGACCCCACCGGTGTCTCCCAACAGCAAAATCCAAGCATACACCCCTACCCCTTCTCAAGCCCCGACACGGAGGTAAAACGTGGTGACACCCAGGTGACACGCAGCGACACGGTAAAACTACTGTTGTTTGCAGCGATCTACCGTTGTTCTGACACACTGACAGGCAGGTGACACGCAGGTGACACGCAGATGACATGCAGGCAACATGCAAGTGACACGCAGTAACGTGCAAGTCGATGCGAGTCACCAAGTAGAACTTGCTTGCCACTGCATGTGAGTGACACGCTGTCACTTGCGAGTCGTCACCATGTGCATGCCGCAAAGAAAAGGATAGACAGTAGCTTTCCTAACTGCGGCATTGTCTGCTGGCCACTGGGCAGTAGTCGGAGGGTACTGGAGCACTAAACCCTTTTTTTCCCCAAAACCTGTCTGGGGTTGGGTTCTCGTTTAGCTGTCTAACCGCGAGGGAGCGAGGATCGGTAGGGGTTCGGCCTGAAGTGTACCACGCTTGTAGCGCCGTGTAAATGCCATTGGCCGAGAAATGACCGAACAGGCGGCTGAACTGCCGGCAAGAACGGGATCGGTCTCAAGTGCGCCGAGTTTACCGCATACAGCAGGGCCGAGTTTGCAGCATACCACGCAAGCGCCGCCAAGAACGTCAAGTGTGCCGAGTTTACCGCATATCGCAGGTGGTCGGGCTTCAAGATTACCGGATCTGCAGCATACAATGCAAGCACCGCTGGCGGGGAAATGGCCGAATGAGCGGCTTGCCGGCTGAATTGCCGGGACGACCTTGACTGTTGGTGAGTGCGCCGGCTGAGTTGCGACCAGCGCCGAGGTAACGGGAGGCACTGGAGGCTGCCGGGACGACCTTGACTGTGAGTGACTGTGCCGGCTGAATTGCAACCAGCGCCGAGGTGACGGTGGGATTTGGCTCCAGGAGGCAGCGAGAACAAGCTGGGGTCAGCCGTACGCCAGTGGGATTTGGCTTGGCGGAGGCGGCAAGGATGGAGGTGACGGCGGAAACAAAAGGGAAACTGAAAGGGAAATGAATGGGAAAGGAATGAGTTTTGTACCCAGAGACTTATCGGGGGCAGGAAGCTCTCACGACCGCACTCAGATGTTTTGCCGGGAATGCGAGGCCTTGTGTCACATCATAAACAGACCAGGCAAGCAAACCATCAGCCCCCCCCTCAGCCCCCCAACGGAGCGATAACAGCTCAGCTGTGAGCGAGCAAGGCATGAATTACTGACCGATGGAAAATCGTGCCTCAATAGTGCAAACATGGGTGGGAGGGAAGGGAACAAATCAGACACACCCCGAACACTATGTTCGAGGATGTGAATGCACCCCTGCACCCCGCTAAGCATCGAGCACCAGAATGTCGCACGAAAAGATCATCATGGGTAAAAACACACATGAACAAGTACATGCAGCGTTTTGTACCCAGAGACTTATCGGGGGCAGGAAGCTCTCACGACCGCACTCAGATGTTTTGCCGGGAATGCGAGGCCTTGTGTCACATCATAAACAGACCAGGCAAGCAAACCATCAGCCCCCCCCAAAGGCCCCGGCAAAACATCCTCGCTCCTACATACCCCCCTGAAGTTGTGAGGATGGCAAATCCCAACCCAACCGTGTGCCTTTGGGCAACACTTCGCAAGTTGGGCAAACCTGCCAAAGGTCTTGCAAGGTGAAACGGACTCTGTTGGGATCTTGCATGCGCTCTGGCTTTGGAAAGTTTTCATGTAAACGACTCAGCGCGTCTGCCTCAATATTGTGTTCCCCAGGAATGTGCGTCGTGTCCAGTCTGATAGCACTGCGCGTTGCCATCAAGCAAAGCTGTTGCAGAAATCGGCACAAAGGATACTTCGAGCTGAAAAATTTGTTCACGCCAGCCTCGACTGATGTGTTGTCTGTAACAGTGGGAAGTACACAGCACAATCTGCAATTGGGCGCCTTGCTTGCTGCCACGTGCAAGAGTCCCATTTGCGCAAAGGTTTCATAAGAAGAAATGTCCTTTTGGGCATCCGAGCTCATACTGATTCCCAGAACTGTGAAATCTTCAGGGTGGAAAAGTTCCGAAAACCACAGAACTTTGCCATTGGCGTCTTGAAGGAATCCTCCGACTCCAATATCATTGCCTTTTGCACAAGCATCTGCTGCTGCAGTGATGCTCCACCAACGTGGTGGATACAAGGAAAGGACTGGTGGCATGCTGGACGCCCATGTTCTCCACATCTGCAATGCGTGAATAGAGTCTTCATGCAGTTTACGCCTGCTACTAGTAGGGTCTGAAACCCTCACCCAAATTCTCTTATCAGTGATGCGCACGTCTCTCAAATCAGCCTTGCGCCTCAACTGCTTGTGTCTTACGCTTAAGACACGCGACCCAACTCGGAAGCTCGTGCCGGGCAAAGTTTCAGATATGGTCAGGTCGTCGTTGAGGATGGAGCAAAAGCGCAACCATTGATCAGGGTTCAAACTGTATTGGGTTGCAATTGGGCTATGCAAATCCTTGTACAGAAAGTAGACCCACGGACGCATCAGAGGGAACAAGTTGGTAACCCACAAAAAGAGGCCGATAAACTGCTCTAGAGCCTTGCGAGAAACATGCCGATGCGTCAGCAAAGACGTGATCTGCTCAAGTAGCTTCAATCGTTTTTCCTCAGTCAGCGCTACGTAGCCTGAGCTAAAATGAAAAGACCACCCGACCCAAATAACTTGCGGTCCCAGCTCACATTTTGGCCAACTGATCGGACAACCCAAAAGAAGCGCCAATATCACAATCATGGTTGCTGACAGCGGCAAAACGCGCTTGCACATCATGAATAAGAAATCGTCCACGTAGAGCAAACTGGCATGCTTCCAAAAAACCAGGTCTTGGAAAATGCGAAGCAGCAGAGCACCTGCGCGCGCCCACCAATGTGCAGACGGCGTCGCTCCGAACGGAGTGACCCGATAGAAATACAAATGTCCTTGATGACGAAAACCGAACAGTCCCTGTTCTGCCGGTAGCAACCTAATTCTTTTGTGGGCGGCTTGTATATCGAGCGAGAAACCCCAAAGTTCTTCAGCATTTTCACGCAGTGGGAACACTCTTAGCACGTCTTTGGGTGAAGGGACTGCGCATCGATCTGGGATAAGGCACCGCTGGTTGGTTCCACAAATGGTGCTGTCCAAAATCAATCTTGGTTTGCGGCCTGGGGCCGTAACCACATTAAGCTTACCAATGGCAACCCCTGCGGGGAAACATTGCTGAGCTTGTGTTAAGTCACCGTCAAAGCGGTAGACCCATCCTTCTGCCATCTCCTGCTGAATGAGATCGCTCACCAAGTCAGCATTGGCTTCCGCATTGCTCCAATTGGAAAAGTGCACTGAAAGATTGGTATCGGCAACAATGGTGGTGTCACGGGCTGGGAAAATTGTACTGTGAGGAATGTTGTGATGGAAGCCGGAGGGAACTCCTTCAAATAAGGCGGGCATAACGGCCTTGTCAGGGTGCCGAAGCAAGGAGCACAAACGATCCAAAATATGAAGCCGGAAGGGTTGCCACTGGGGTATGGCCCAATCAGTATCCTGCAATGACAAAAAATTGATCAAAGCTGTTTTGAAAGGTGCCAAATCTGCTTCAGAAAAAGGAGGTTCTGCTGAATGTTGCTGCAAATGTGCCATCAACTTCTTGTGGAGGCCACCATCTAACACCAGCTTCACCCATGTGTGGCGTAAGGCCTGTAGGTAGTTGTCATTCTGCGGAGCACTCCAATCTGGATTCCCACCTGCACCATCGTGAAGAGCCCATGGTGGCTCATGAATGCGCTTGGTTGGAATCCAGGAGAGAGCTTCCTGCAATGTCAGCTGTTTTGCAGGTCCAGAACACATCGGCGCCACAATCGCCGCAAAACGCCTGGCAAGCTCCAGCGGGTACTCTGCTGTCCTCTCACTGGGAGTTGAGCTGTCCGCCAGTCTGATTGTAGACGTTTCTGGATGAGGTTCGGGAGAATAGTCACTTGAAAAGGCCAGTGCGTCGAAGCTTGCATGCGTGCCCGCAAACAACCAGCTGTGGTTACCGTCCAGCCCAACG